AAACTCTTCTACTTGTGAACAATAGTTATATATTAGTTCGCACACGGTTAGTTAGCGCTAACCATAGTCAATCATGTGCTTCGTTATCAAGCTCCTCGTACGTGTTGAAGTTGTCGAAAATGCTTATGGGCCGCTGCATTAGGGGGAGTTTCGTCATTTTCCTGTTTGTCCTCTGAAAGATTTTCGTCTCCACCGTAAAGTATTGAACACAAAGTGCCCCAAATACACCCCAAGAGGGGTATAGAAGACATTTGAAGCGAGATTCTTCTGGGATTCATGGCTTGAAAAATTGTTTGATGTGCTTGTAGAGTTTTGTTGATTTAATGAAGCAGAGAGGAAAAAGAAATGGTTTGTAAGAAAATTTATTTTGTGATGTAAAAAGAGAGGATAAGGCTACTTTTTTATAGTGAATTCAAATCATGTGGGGGAACATTGGAAAACTTTGGTGAATTCAATTATTCAATATCTTTTGCTTGCCAAGTTCAAATTTTTATTCTTTAAATATTGTATATGATTAGTGGGATGCAAATGCAATTGTGTATAAGAAAAGGACCCCAACTGGAGTGGTGGAATAAATAATAGACAAAAATATCACACAGCCATAATAGATGAACATTTATTCTTGGCTTCTGTCTGGCACTTGTTTTAACTTTAGAAAAACTTAATCTATTGATTGGGCAACTGATGTGTTTCATGGGAAAAAAAGGCAGATTTTGAGTGGTAAAAATCAAGACTTTTCTAGCACGTTATGATAAGGGCATGTTTGTCATGGCCCATGGGGGGTGCTTTTGGGCAAATCATCAAGTCCTAAAACATATAATTATAAAAACACTAAAATAAAAGTCATCGTTGGAAAAATTAATTTTGAAATAAAAAAGAAACTTGTGGTGATGAATATCAATTATAGGAGGTGAATCAAAGATAGTCATAAGATAATTATTTGATACTTCAAATATAAAAAATGGTAACAAATAGGAAGCTATTGAGTTTTAAAAATGTTAAAATATATAGAAAAAATATATATAAAAATATTTAAAAGTTTAACTCAAATAATTTAAAATAAAAAAACTGATATGTGTATTCAATATGGAATACTATTTTAGTAAAATTTATTTGGCGGAAAAATAACCAGTTAGTTTTAGTAATATATATATATATATATATATATATATATATATATATATATATATATATATATATGATGTAGTTCAAATGAGAACCAAGTCTTAGTGTGAGAACCGTGAGAACCGTGAGAACCGCTATTTTTAATTGTGTGAATTGCTATGATTGATTGTGTTTTAGTGCTATTTTTAATCAGGATGTATTTTATTAAAAATAGCAACACAATTTATATTAGCATTTGTGAAAATGATAGCATCATGTAATATTAAAAATAACATCATACACAATTAAAAATAGCATCAAATATGGTTCTCACGGTTCTCACACCAAGACTAGTTTTTACTTGTTTCACTCCCTATATATATATATACTAGTACGTAACCCGTGCGATGCACGGGATGTAAAATTTGGATGAATAATATAATCTCACGTGCATTAGGATCGAAATTGAAATCATTAAAATACATAGGAACATTGTTGAATAAAAAATTCGGTAACAATCATAATTTATTAAAAACCTCCTTGTACACAACATTATGAGTTTGATTATTTGGTAACTCCTCATTATCACAAACTAATATTTCCAACCCACTTCTATTATTTACACGCGAAGCAGCAACATATAATTGGCCGTGACTAAAAACGGGTTTCTTCAGGAAAAGACCAACGTGCGATAAAAACAGAGTTTTTAAAAAAAGAGTTTTTAAAAAAAGAGTTTTTAAAAATTGAAAAGTCAAGGCAATCAGTTCAGATTAATTAAATGTCAAAGAATATCCGCTCCTTGAATTAAAGACGTGTGCTATCATTAACCAAATATCTGGTTATTGATATAGAGTGGTTACCAAAAAATAGAACGCGATAAGGACGCTTCATGGAAATATCAATGGAATAAGGTCATAACAGATCGCTATACATTTTAACGATAAAAGCTTATATGGAATGATTTAATTAGATGTGTGAAAAGACATAATTAATGAGAAGTGTGAAAATGACATAATTAATGAGAAGTGTGAAAAGTACATAATTAATGAGAAGTGTGAAAAGGACAAAAACTTACCAGTTTTGGAAAATATTTAATGCAAATCCGACATTGACCATAATTTGATCTACTATTTTGGATAAATGTTAATTCTTATTATATAAGTATAGATTTTATATTTAATACAGATTCTCTATCATCTCTTCATATTTCAGAACTAGTTGTACACATTTGCTCCGGGGTGTAGTATGATCGATATATTAATTGTCAAAGATATAATACAGGCTAAATCACAACATAGTCAGTAATGTTTGGGCGGTGGCTATAATAGTCACTAACTTTTATTAATTGACAATAATAGCCAACAACTTTTAAAAATTTCGAGAATATTACCCAAATCTCGCTAAACTCGACGGAATTGTGTTCGAACTTGCATACTCGGCTGATTTGAACTCCTTGTGGCCTACATAATTCAGCTCAACCCAACCTCTTATAAATACCTCATCCACATGTTTTCTCTCATTTTCCCCTAAAACAGGAAAAAAATCGGGCGATTCGAAAAACCCTAGAATCGAAAGATCCAAATATTTGGATCTGCAATTCGAACAACAAATTTGTGAGGAATTCAATTTGACGGTATCTTCCTCTATCCACGCACAAAACAATAAGAAGCCAAACACTTATCCTTCTGTGTACAATAAGCATCCTTAATTAATTTTACTCCATTGTTTTTATTAATCTGCGTAGTTTACAAGTTTTTCTTTTTTAATTTTTTTATGTTTCATGATTGGTCATAAAAAATGTGTATTTTATATATTTATTAGCGTATTTTTATATACTAAATTTTGTCGCACTTAAATATTTTTTGATTTATCTTTGAATGGATCCTTGTGCTTTAATATTTTTATATTTTATTTTTAATATATTGCAATATTTTTGTAGACGACAAGGCATGACAGGGGATTCAAGCATTGAGCACCCCATACACCAACCCATTTTTGGCCCACATGTGCAAATTGTGGAGAAGCTCCAGCCTTAATTAAATATTTCATTAAGTTTTTATGTGGGTTGAAGTGAAGCCCAATGAAAGGGCATGCATATTGTAAGTATATGATTGGTTGTTTAAGGTAGTGTTTGGTTTGAGAAAAAAAGGAGTGGAGGGGTATTTGGCGAAACTTTTATTTTTCATCAATTAATTTGTAATCAAGTAGTTGCAACATCAGATTGTCTCTCGAAGAAAGATTGTTCGGAGCAAGCCTCACTTTTTAGTTGTCAAAGTACAAAAATGAAAAGTAAAAATCCTAAAAAAATTCTAAACAACTTTGGTTGGTTCATTTTAATTAAGCTAATTTAACCTAAGAATTTAAGAGCAATTACTTAAAGTGCAAGCTTTAACTAAAGGTATGATGTCATAAATAATGAGAGCTTACCCAAAGTTTGTATTTAGAATGAGGACATATATAGCATACACACACTTGTTTTCAATTTAATTCAACTTACTTATTATTGAAGCATGTTGACTGGGAGACTCGTAATATTACCACATAATTCGTGTTGTTTCAAAAAGAGGAGTCGATATTTGGATGATGATCATTTTACTTTTACTTTCAGCCAACCTAAATAGATGTAATCTAGGGTCAACTGGTCAACGCTCCTATTGCGTTGATCACTGGCTGTTCAATTCAATACATGTGAACTAAAAGAGGAAAAGAGGGTCAAAAACGTTAGGCTTGTTTTTCTCTTTATAACCAAAAGAGGACGAGAAAAAGAATAGACGAGAAAGGGAAAAGAAAAAAGAAACTAAAATAAAACGAAAAGCACGTAGCATGCAATAACATTAAGAAATTTGTCACAAGAAACTAATTACCCATTCAGTAATATTCTCATTAATTATAATATAATTAAAATAAATAATACAGATCTTGTTGATTTATAATAACCATTTGGAGCAAATTAATTCTCATGTTAAAATGTTCGAACTCATCCCAAACAAAATAATCAATCACAATCACCCTCAATGATTATTGCTCAATTTTTTTATTTTTTTTTTCATATGGTTGTTATATTGTTAATTTTTCATTCAAGTGTATCTATTTCTCTAATCTCTATGCACACTCCTCTTAATTAACTAAAAATATGAAATGGAACTTAACTAAAAAATGTTTGTCAATCAAAATTCCTATCTATTAATCAAAATTAAGTAAATCTAAATCTAGGGTCTTTTAATCTGCTTGAACTTGAACCCCATGGACGAATCGAAGCAATCCAACTTATCCCTATACGCATTCATCAATTTCAACAACTCGGTCACTTTCTCCTTCGTCCCCTCACTACACCCAACTTGCAACACCACAAGAAGCTTCTGGAAAGCTCCGAGCTCCAATGCCTCCACAACCCCACCCTCATTCCCTCCCACCACCACCTTCCAAAGTATCGAAACCGAAAACTCCGTACCCAACTCCGACACGCGGAGGATCTTCTTCACCACCAACGGGACCGTCAGCGCATCCGAACGCGCGCTTTCCTTCCCTTCCTCCGAGTCGCAAACGGCGTCCAGAACCCCCAACGCCTTCTCGCAAATTCCCTTATTGCCCTCGACGATAATGTCGAGAAGCAACGGAACCAATCCCATCCGTACGAATAATAAACCCGAACCTTTTTCTCTCTCCCGACCACGCGACCACACCAACATCCGTCGAACGATCACGAGGCACGCTTGCGTTGCCTGGGGGCAAAATCGTAATTTCACGGCCCCAATCAACGCCTCCTCGGCTCCCTCGACCTCCGCCAGCCGCTCCTCCGACAAAGCCTCGTTTAGCACGAGCGCAGCGTCCCGCCGCGCTGAGAGGCCGCCGCTGCCGAGAAACCGGACGAGGCACCGAAGTCCGTCTGCAGACCCCACCTTCGAGAAACCCTCCGAGTCCTGGGGAAAAGCCCACGCGAGCACGGATAGGATTTCTCGAAGCAAAACCGAGTGTTTCTCGACCGAGACGCGCGCGAATGCTTCGAACGCGCCAGCCGACGCAGTTCCGAACCCGTTGCTCGAAATGCATCGTCGGTTCCGTTTGCTCTCGCGTGCCGAGTCCTTGACTTTCGTGACGAGCTCTCGACATTTTTGATCATTCTGAGTCTCGGTTGCGTCGCGCATCTCGACGCAAATGTCGGAGACTTCTTGTGGAGAGATGGGGACGCGTGGGGTCGGGACGCGCTCGACTCCGAGCGACCGGTTATCAACGCACCACTCTTGGATCATCTTGCGGAGGGCGTGGTTCGGGATTTGGTCGAGGGTTTTTAAGGGTTGGTTGGTGACGGGGCACCTGGCGTGACCGGAGTCGAGCCACCTCTCGATGCTGTCTCGGTCGTAGGTTATGCCGGTGGATAACGAGACGGGGTCCTTCATGAGGTCGAGGGATATTGGGCACCGGAAATGGGTTGGGATCGTGAGCTCCATGTCGAGTGAGACACGTTTTGGGTCCGGATTTTTTCCGGTTGAGTTACGGTCTAGCCTCCTTTTCCATAAGAAACATGTCATTGTGGTGAATTGTGTGAAGGAGCAAAATGTAGGAATGAAAAAACAAAAAATTGTGGATTGTGTGTTGGGGAGATTAGGATTTGGTAGAAATTTTAGGCATATATGTATTACTGATGTGTGAAGAAGGGCGCACGGGTCAAAGGAGACGTGATTGAGAAATTCATAATTTGGAAAGTTTCAAAATCGTGGGAATGGTGTTGTTATAGAATATTAGGGAAGATTTTCACGTTTTAATATTTGAGTTGAATGTTTGACTGTTGAATGTTTGAAAAGTGGAAGTCCGATTTGCTTAACTATCAATAATAATATATATGTGAATAATAATATATTTGTTAGGGAAGAAAAATAAATAAATAATTATTTTAGTAAATAATGGGTTTGGGGTTCATGAGGTTTGACTGGTTGATCGGGTCGGGGTTTCATCGAGGCTAGTCCGTGACCAGATTGTTCAAATATTCCATTCATGTAGATAGGTACAGATAATATTTAGTATATGCTAAGTAATAGTTTAATTACTTTATCTTTTAAAATGTTGAGCATGATGTTTGGTTTTGATTAGTGAAAGTAATCTTACTCGAGAGGTGCATGGGATTTTATTAAGTTGCATTGTTGTGATTGAATAGGGTTACCTGCTTTTTTTCGCACGACTGGTCAATGTACTATTTGTTTCCTGTGATTGTTTTTAATTTTTAAATTCATGAAACAAAGCATGATGTTACTAGTCATAATTAAAGTAATAAAACTTAAAAATAAAATTATAACTAAATTTTATAAATAAAATTTGGACAATATCCTAAGAATCAGAAATCAAAAGGAGGAAGGAAATCGTTTTATATTTTTCAAAAATAAAAAATAAATAGTCAAAATTCCAACCTTTTCCATACTTAAATATATAAATTAAATTCATTGAAAAAATGTAATGCTTAATGACAACTACATAGTTTTTTTTCGAAAAAGCATTATAATACTATTTTTATGCTTAAGAGAACTAAATAACAAAAATAAACGGGAACTCGTTTGAAAATGGGTTGAATTCGCTTAACTATTTCAAAGACTATCAGTAACATTATTAATTGTAAATCATAGAAAAATTTCATATATTTAAACAAGAAAAGAAAATTTGAAAAAAGAATTAACTGAATTAAAAAAATATGTTAACTGAATTAAAAAAATATGTAAAAATAATAATTTTACTACAAGTAATTATTAATTAATTTTTTCATGAAATTTACAAAGTGGAGATAAAAATTGACAAACTTTGTTTAGAGAATAAGAAAATTTCATATTTAGGACATATTTATATTTAATATTTCATTATATAATTTATATATACATATTTATAAATAATAGTGGGCTATAGGAAAAGTTGGGATCTTTGGCGATCGCCCGGCCCACCTACTGAGGGCCGGCTGTTTGGATGGGCTGAGACTTCTATGGCTGTTTACTAGAGACGAATTCATGAGCGAGCCTTCACAGTTGTCATGTTGAATTTTTTCTTCTAGAAATAAGTTAGATTTGTTTTTATAAGACTACCTATATAAAATAAGTGAATTATAAGAAATATTACAGATATATTAGTGAAGATGATACATGAGATACATGGTCATTCTTGTG